CTTTTTTTAACATGATCCCACCATAGTGATACATATTTACATAACTTAATAGCGACAAGCTTTACCTTATAATTATCAAGAATGTCCTTCAAATCAAATACCCATTCAACTGTGCTGAGCCAATAAATGAAATCATCGGGATTAGCTTTCCCATTAAACTTAGGAATGAGGACCTTATTGGTCGTGATCCATTGATATGTATTGTGCTCTGATACCAACTAATTTCATTTCTGTACAGTACTAATCGGAATAGATACTCAAACCAGTTTTCCCAAGAAACGTTTTTTCCTAAAATTCAAGTCTTCCTTCAAAACTAGCAATCCTCTAAAACAAAAGGATTCGAGGTCCTAGAAAATAGTTAACAAACCAAAAGATAAAATGTAATCCTCTAAAACCAACAAAATGATTATTAAAATAAGATAAAAATCATTGAAAAACTAATGGTCTGGATCCACTTTGGCCTTCATGCGGGTTGGGTCCGCTTCGGCTCTAACTCAATTCATCACCGTCACAAACTTGTTAGTGTTAGTGATTAGGGTTTAGGCCCAAGCCCTTTAGGGTTTAGCCATTAAGGTTTAAGTATTATGTATATATTTTTATGTAATTTTGTTTTGAGTATAAAAAAACAATCTATTATTGTACATGGTCTCAAAGAAAAATAACTATATCTCTTAATAGTCATCATCTCTTCTTCTATCTTTATCAATTAACAATCCCTCCAAATCACCGCCTTCTTCCAATTCTTCATCATCATGGCCACCGAGAATCCATGTGGCATCACCAATATCAAGACGCATGATTCTTTTTACCAAATAACATGGTATCAGAGCAAAATAATTGTCTCTCCTAAAAGTCTTCATCTTTTCTTCTATCTTTATCAGTTAACAATCCCTCCTAATCGCCATCTCCTTCCTATTCTTCATCAACATGGCCACCGAGAAGCCCTATGACATCACCAATATCTAGTCACACTCATAGAAGGTGTCTTCATTATGTTCCATATTTTTCTGTTTCTTCTCTTCTCCACCTAAATAATAAAACAGCCATCGGCGCTAAACCAAATCATTTTCATCGGCTTCTTTTACCGCATCGTCTACTTTTATCTCCTTCTCAGATGACCTCTGCCTCCTCGCCTTCTGTCTCCTCCTTTACTTCTTCATATCTCTTATCTAATTTATCCCCTTCTAATGTTGTTGTCGCCTCTCTTTGATGGCACATTCTCCACTAGAAAGTCTCTTATCTATAATCGTCTCTTTCTCTATCAACATTGCAGTCATCGATCTCGTCGGAATTGGCTCTGTCTACCGCAACGTGAGCCCTCTTTCTTTCTCGTTGCCTTTCTCCGGACTCCACTGTTGTTGATTTCATGATCGCCGTCGTGGTCGTCTCTTTTCTCTTCTTCTACAACGAAATCGTCTTTGGTTGTTTATTCTTCTCTATTCTTCTCCGACAAGCTATCGATGTTGGCCATTATCGCCAGAGCTCTACCACCATTGTTATCGTTATCTTCATCTAGTTTTGTATGTTTTGTTTTTTTGTTTATTTTTCTAGTTTAATCGTCTCCTCCTGATCAAATTGTGGGGGATGTTAGTGATTAGGGTTTAAGCACAAGCCCATTAGGGTTTAGATATTCTCTATATATTCCTATGTAATTGTGTTTTGAGTATTAAAAACAATCTATTAGCTTAGAGTTGGTGATTTTTTCAAGACTTTATGTCCTAGGGATATCTTTTTTCTAGTTTCATTATACTCTATGGGAAAAATTCAAAAACGCGGTTTGATATTGCAAGAGGGTAAAGGCACTCGGTCCCGATGGATTCAATTTTAAATTTTGATATGTCACCTTCGCGAAAACAAGTTCATTCGCATATTTGAAAACTTTTTCACATTCGGGTAATTGAGTAGATGAAGCAACTCTTGTTTCATCAAACTTATTCCTAAACTGTATGGTCATTTATGTCTAAAGGAATATAGACCGATTCTCATTGATTGCTTATATAAAGTAATTGTTAAAGTTCTTGCAAATAAGCTCAACTTAGTGATAAGATCTATTGTAAGCGAGGAATAACTGAATTTTATTGTCGGTAGAAACATCATTGATGGAGCTCTCATCATCAACAATATTTGTTGTTGGAGTAAAAACAATGATGGTTTTTTAAGTCAATTTCGAGAAAGCCTTCGACACTTTGAATTGGAAATACCTTGATCACACAGTGGCTCAAATGGAGTTTGGAGTTAAATGGCGACTTTAGATTAGAGCTTGCTTTAGCTCGACTAGATCTTTCGATTTGATTAACGACTCGCCTCCATTGGAGTTCAACCTTGAAGATGGGTTGTTAGGGGACTTGCTTTCTCTATTTCTTTTCATTTTTGCAATGGAAGGGTTGTATGTTGTTATGGAGAAAACTTATAACCATAGAGTGTTTCACGAGTTTAAATCACCCACAACAACCCATCATCTCTCACCTACTTTATGTCGATGATGTCATGTTTATTGGTGAATCGTCTGAAATAAACTTCCTCAATTTGGCTCAGATTTGTAGATGCTTTCACTTGGCATCGGGGCTATAGGTGAATTTTGGTAAAAGCAAAGTTCTTAGCATCGGATCCCCTCCTAGTGAAATTAAATCTTTAGAAGTCATTCTTGCTTTCTAACCTAACTCGTTCCATTCAATCACCTCGGCCTCCCGTTGGGGTCCGTATGTCGATTGCCAGAAATTGGGAGTCAGTTCTAGAAAGGTTCAAAGCTAAACAATCCTCTTGAAAAAACAAAACATTTTCATTCGAAGGTCGACTTACCCTTAAAAAATCGGTGCTCGGGATTCTACATCTATATCACTTTTACTTGCTCAAATCTCCATTAAATGTGATTGAAGCACTTGATAAAAACAAGTAGAAGAACTATTTGGGAGGAAACAATAATTCCTCAGGATTTTCTTTGGTGTCTTAGGGAAAAAAAAAAACCTTGCACTTCTTTTGAAATGTTGGTGATGACTAAAAACCGAACCCACCTCTCTTCGAGCAAGAACTATACAACTCTTCATAACACAAATGGAGTTAATCGATTCATTACAAGGTTGTATAATTTCCATAGCTCATGGGTAAAGAAAAGCAGACGTGTCTAGTAATTTTTCGGTCAAATCATTATCATGGATTATTCAAGAAAATGTAACCCATTTGGACTCCCATAAAGGTAAAGTACTTCTTCTAGAGAGCTAGCATTGAAAAGATCCCGACAACATCTTCTACTTTCCTGCCAATTCTGCAAACAAATTTGGGCCTTGGAGGTGCAACATTGATTGGGCTGGACCCATCTCGGTAACCCATTGGTTTGACTTTGCAGCCTCTTCTCCCTTGGTCATTAAAAATTTAAAATGAGGTACGTAATTTTATTCGCTTACATGATATTGTCTTTCACAATACTCCTCGATTCCCATCCTTAGCTTTTGACGAAATCAAAGCTTCCTACTTGACATGGGAAAATTTAGGGTAGAAAAACAGAATCTAGTTCATCGTCGTTATCGCCTTATCGGCATTATCCATGTAAATTTTATTATATAATATAATATGTCGTCCAAAAAAACGTAAGAAATAACCATTGTGTCCAGTAAAATTACAATATTCAACGATTTCTTATATATACCGTGATCATTCTTATGTGAACGCTGTCAATTCTCATGTCGCTTATTTACCTCGTAATGAAAAAGTATGATCATTCAAATTTACCTCGTAATGAAAAAATATGATCATTCAACCATGAATGGTTTAAATAAATTAATTGTAAAGAATAAACAAGTACTTTTTATAGCTTTAAAATAAAAGCCAAATGTTAGAAAAATAAAACAAAACAAAAATAGGGCCATTCAATTACTATTAATAATCACTTCTAAAGATTCCTACTTTTGTTGTTTTCTTATTTGAATTGTTCCCCACATGTCTTAAAATAATCATATAAAATACTTAATAAACGAAAACTCTATTTTTTTTATTTGAAATAGAGTCGTAGACTCGCAGCCTATTTTTTTTTTAATGCAAATAAGACATTTCAACATTGACACTTTTGTTTGTATCTTTTCAATTCTTATCCAAAATCATGCACTATAACGAGAGACAAGTGTTTTTTTGGTATTTTTGTAAAAACTATAGTTCAAGGAACATTTATATATTACTGAAATATGCTTTGTAAGTACAATAATAAATTAAAAAAGGGTTTTTTAGTTATTAGAATCATATTGAATTTGATTAGAACCATATTCATGAGATAATAAACACGTTTTCTGTTTTATATCACTGTCTTTTCTTCTTGGATTAATTGTCAATAATTGATAAAAAGGTATCTGTTTTGTTTAGGGCCAACAGTGTACCTCTATCGCAATTCGCACACCATAAAGTGGTGACATATTATCATGGTCACCATATTGTCTGGAGCACGGTGGTGTGGTTACCCCCTCCCTGCGGCAGCTTCTTCCCGCACACTTCTTCCTTCTTTGTGACAGTTGGAGCATTAAAAAAATCTCTATTATAAATAAACATCAAATCTTCTATATTTTTAAACCACAACATATGTATTTCAAATTCAAAATATCTTCATCATCTTCCACTTTACCGGATACATTAGCTTTGCGGGAATCAAAGTTTATGATGAATGTTATGCAAACAACACTCACTTATCTATAGTTAAACAAAGCCAAATGTTCGCATTTAAAAACCATAACATGTAATTTACAAAGAAATTGTGTGGTTGTGCACAACCATCTTGTACAAAACGTTGAAGAATTTAGACGCCAGCTCCAGATGAGGAAAGAATTATTCCTAAGCATTGTTGATGATGTGGAGAATCGATTTCCATATTTTTCAACTAAGTGGAATGCGAGAAGGGGACAAACTTTTTTTCCAATTTAAAAATATACAATAGCAATTCGCCAACCAGCATTCCACATGGGAACGGATTCATGTGATGCGTATTTGAGGATGTCAGCACGAACAACACAGGAATGTATTCAAAGTTTGTTAAAGTTGTGATTATCCTCTATCATGACCGATATTTGTGCAAACCTATAATTTAACGACGTCCACCAATTCTATACGACACATAAAAACAAGTATGAGTTTTCGAGAACGTTTGATAGTATTTATTGTATGTATTGAGGGTGGTCAATGTGCCTTAACGCGTGATGCGGTCAACTCATACGAGGTGATCAAAAACAGTCCACAATAATTCTATAAGCAGCGGCATCAAATAATCTATGGGTATGGCATGCATGTTTTGGTGCATCTGGTGTCAACAACGATATCAATGCTCTAGACTATTCGTTGATATTTAATGACATCTAGCTTAGGAAATCATTTGATGTGTCGGTTCAAGTAAATGAGACATCATGCAAGCATGGATACTACCTTAATGATAAGATATATCATGAGTTAGCTACATTTGTGAAATCATTATCATGTCCAAACAACGAAAAAGAACAATTTTTTAAGGCAGTCCAAAAATCAACTAGGAAAGATGTCGAACGAGCATTTTGTGTTCTAAAAAGAAGCTGGCAAATACTCAGAATCCCAACTCAGTCATATGAGCAGACAAGAATATATAGCATGATGTATGCATGTATCATATTGCATAATATGATCATAAGAAGATGAACGAAAACGATTTGTCACTACAATAAAAATGAGAATTTACCAAAATTGAATGAGTGGGATTTAGACAAACATAGAGGAAGTATACGACCATGCTAGACACCACAACCTTCGTGATGATTTGGTGGAACATGTCTTCAATACTTTTTACATGACATCGCCAACCATTCGTGCAACAATTTGTTTGATAATACAGATGAAAATTCGATCATGTTTGACAATGAATCGGGTAAGGATTTAGACAACTAAATGACCAATGATAAGAAATGACGTATTATTTTAATAATATATTTTTTATTTTGATTATGTATTTTTTTTAACTATTGAAATAATTTTTGATTAATTTTATCTAATTATTAAATTGTATTCTAATATATTTAATTAAAAATAATAATAATAATAATAATAATAGAAACGGTTTTCTATCAATGAAATAAATAAGAAAAAACCACATGACAATGAAATGTCAAGCAAAAAGTAAAAAAGGAAATGAGAGGATTAGCCTTAAAAGAAGACAAAGCAGCATAGTCGTATTCACAAAAATTGTTGATAGAGTCTAAAAAGTTTTTATTGTAGCTGCTTTAAATGTTGCATCAAACAAATTGGAAAAACATGATAAAGTGTGCATGGAAAATCAACACACGTTTATATCCTTTGCATTTGATACTTTCGGTTTTCTTGCACAAGAAGATATGAAGCTACTCAATAAAGTCCAACTGGTCATACATAGTAATCTTATGACTCCAAGATCTATAAATGTTTTTAAAAGAATTAGGTTTGTCATCCAAAAAATAGTTGTGATAAAGTTTATTGTCCGTTTACCCGCTACGTCTACCTAAAACTTTCTTCTTATGTTTTATATAACAGAACTCAAAATTGGCTAATCTATTCGTAACTTGCATTTAATGTCAAAACTAAGATTTTTCCTCGATTTTTGTCCATGATACACTTGAAAGCCCAATTTTACCTTTTTTGTATTTTCTTTCCTATTTATTTTATTACTTAATTAAAAAAATTTAAAAAAAAAAAAAAAAAAAAAAAACCATCGCCTATGATCTTCTTCCTTTCATCAGACCTACGATCTTCTTCCCAATCACCCACGTTTGTCCTTATTAACCCCATATACTTGAGTTGTAGCCTTAGCTGAAATAAATAAATTATTTAAATACCAAAAAATAAATAAATGAATGGAGAAAATGAAAATGGTACAATTGCCCTTTCAAATGTATCAGGGACCAAAATCACAAAAAAGTTTTAATTTTGGATCAAGTTGGAAACATTTTGTACCTGATCTATAGTTGAATACCATAGAGACCAATTTTACAAGTTTTGTCTTAAAAGAATAAACAACAAAATCATCAAAGTTTGATTGTGTTTGTATATTTAATTTTGAAAAAGAAAAAAACCAACAAAAATGTCAAATATTACCATTGTTGCTCTTCTAACAAGGCTTCCAACATATCACAAATTAAAACACAAGTATTCATCATTAATAACTCTTAGAAGAAGGTTTCTAGTTCACAGAGTCAACACCGCAGCTGACTTGGACAGTTGACCATCTGAGGTGTCGTTGACCGGAGTCTGTGTTGTGTTATCTTCTTCTTCTGCGCCAGCTGGCACACAGGGGCGCCAAATGGTGTCCTTCCCAACATCCATCAAAGCAATACCTTTTGAAGTCAAATAACTCCTGATTTGGTCCCCACGTAAGAAATCTTTATTCTTTCTAGCCAATGCACGTTCTTCAATACGTTGTAATATCTCCTCTTCACTCAACTCAGCTCTCTTCAATGCTTTCTCTTTTAACTGCTTCAAAACCTAACAACCAAGTTTCAAATAAATAAAACAGGAAAAAATATATATATTTACAAAAACAGTCCCTGTGCTTTCTGATTTTTCGAGGTTATGTATTGATTTTGGTCCTTCATATAAAACCACAAAATAAAGACCAAAACTGAAAAACGTTTCGGCTTTGAGCTAAACATGGTAAAAACCAGAAAGCACAGGGACTATTCTTGTAATTTGCTAAATAAATATCTGAAGCTACCTCGGTATATGTAGAACTGGAAAGCAGTCCTAAAACGTCTAAAACGTCCCTCACTTCTTTCTCCAACTCAACCAGCGACTGAATGTATGACAACTTCTGTGGTTTTTGAAGCTTTTTCTGCAAAATATTTTAAATAAAAAAAAAAAAATGTTGCGAGTTTGGGATTTTGAAAAAATTAAACAATATTATAAATTTATAATCTGACCTTGAGCATGCTTAGTATTTTATTGAGCAGTCTTAAGGCTTCTTGAAGGGCGTCATTGAGAATAGAAGGTGTGTGTAAATCATCAGACATTTTTTTTTCAAAGTGAGTTTTAAGATCTGTAATGCATTTTTGGGCATCAGCAGTCGATGGATATTTTTTCCCACCAGAAACAGAAGCAGCCGCATCCTTTTCTTGTGCAATAGCACTCTCACAGTCTTCCAGAGTCTAAAAAAATTAAAAAATTAAAAAAATATATTTATATAAAAAAAAAAAAAAAAAGGTTATTTCTTAAGGAACAAGGATTTTTGACCTGATAAATATAAAAGATGGATTCTGAGGAGATCTCGATTTGAGAAATTGAGTAATTGACCGGAGAACGATAGTGTGTGCCCATCAAGAAATGCCTCAAGGCAAGTGGGTGATATAATTTAGTCACCTTCAAAATTATTTTAAAAAAAATTAAAAAATATAAGAGTTAAGATCATTTAACTTCACCTTTTATACAAATATAGATAAAGTTACATAAATGGTCCCTGTGCTTGCAAAAACATATCACATTTGGTCCTTATGAAGACTTTCTTGCATACATGGTCCCTAAGTTTGAAAAATGTTGCATAGATGGTCCTTATGGCTAACACCGTTACAAATTGGGGTTAAATATTTGTGAAAAGACCAATATACCCTTTATTATCAGGAGAAAAAAAGTATGTTGCCATTTTGTATCAAGAAAAAGAAAATATTTAGAAACCAGAGACCAATCACATTAAAAAAAAAAAAGGTCAGGAGGGAATGAGTTTGTGACTTTTGGCATACCACAGGGACCATTTGTGTAAATTTGACTAAATCAAACACATACCTCACGAATGGTGAAAAAGTTGCCAACGGATTTTGACATTTTTTCATCATTTGCAGTGACAAAACCGTTGTGCATCCAGTAAGTTATATTACTATTTGGACATGCAGCAGAGCTTTGAGCAATCTCATTTTCATGATGTGGAAAGATTAAATCCATTCCACCACCATGAATATCAAATTTTTCTGTTAAATAAGTCGCACTCATTGCACTGCATTCAATATGCCACCCTGGCCTTCCCGGGCCCCACGGGCTCTCCCAACTTATCTCCCCTGGCTTAGCAGCCTGACAAAACAAAAACCATTCAATATAACTTCTTTTTTTTTTTTTTTTTTTTTAAAAAGGTCAACCTACTTTCCACAATGCAAAATCAGCTGGATTTCTTTTTCTTGAATCAATAGCAATACGTTCACCAGCTCTATTGTCTTCAGGCTTTCTCCCTGATAACCTCCCGTAATTGGGAAAATTATTGGGAGGAATTCCAACTGAAAAATAGACATCTCCATCTACAGGATAAGCCCAGTTGTTCTCAATTATCTGCAAAAACACAAACACGATAAGAGAAAGAAATCAAGATTCAAGAATGAAAAAGAAAGAAAGCACCTTTGATATCATATCTCTTATTTGATCCATGTGATCTGAGACACGAGGTTGTTCGTTTGGAGGCAAGCATTGAAGATCAGCCATGTCGATTAGAAACTCTTGGCAAAATCGTCCACTTAAAGCTAGTGGGTCCTCCCCAAGTTCATTGGCTCTTTTGATAATCTGCATGTGAATAAGATAGAAAATAGCATAAGTTCATTTGATGTCACTAAGGAACACTTAAAATGCTGAAAAATAAGAAGCATAAGCTTTGAGCAACTTACCTTGTCATCTACATCAGTGAAGTTTCGGACATATTTAACTTCATAGCCCAAATGTTTCAAATACCTTGTAAAGAAAAGAAAAAAACATGTTTTTTAAAAATATATGGTATGCCTGTAAATTCTAATAGTATAGGTTTCTCATTTGCATTCCGTGACTTCCAATTGGGACATGTACAGAATTGGTTCGATGGTTAAACCAATTGAGCTTCAATTTCAGAAAAAAGAAAACCAAATGCAAAGTTTTTACTCAATTGCATCACTCGGAGTACGAATTGCAATCAAATGGTTAAAATTACGTACATTAATCCAGGTCTTAATCCCAAAAAAAGCAAACTGTTGATTGAATAAGTAAAACAAAACAACGCGTAATTGCTCCCACAGGTCCTTGGGAAATAGAGAAATCGAGAAATCGAGAAAAGATATACCGAAAGAGAACATCGAAGGCGACATAGGCACGAGCGTGACCAATATGACTGAAGTCATAAGATGTAACGCCACAGACGTACATGGCGACTTTGCCAGGAACTAAAGGAACGAATTTCTCCTTCTGTTTCGTCATGGTGTTATATATCTGAAAATCAGACCCACGCACTTCCGCCATCGCTCTCTCTCGATTAAGTGTGCTTTGAGAAAAACCCTAGCGATCCCCTTCCTTTTCCGCTGCTGCAGACCACCAAATGCACATGTAAGTAAGATGTTCAATGGGAAACGGCATATGCATGTAACAGAACAAAATCCCTAATAACAGATAAAATTAAATCCGCAAATCGAAATCCATTGTCCAGATCATACCGTAAAACCCTAATCCAGTATCAGATGGTTCAGACTGAACAGAAAGATCTTGATATTGGCGAAATTAAGGGAGAATCTGTAGAGAAGGTTCACAGGTAGATCAGAAATCGAAGGTTAACGGAATGCATGGAATAAAGAGAGGAGAATCAGAGTTGGAGAGAACCTGATACTGAAAGACGCAGCCCCCAGAAAGAGGATGATGGTCCAAAACTCACAAAACTGCTGTAGGATTTAAAAGGTATGTAGGGTTTTAAACGCACAAACGTAATTCAGTTTTAAAACGTAATTCGGTTTAAAATTTAGAAAGTATATCCTACTAAATTTTCATAATCATGGATATGTTTTAAAACATCAAATTATAAATATCTAAATATTTAATTTAAGAGAAATTAAATACCCTCTTATAGAGTTAGGATGAAATGTGGATTGAGTGAACATGCGAACAATTTTAATATAAAAGAATATAAAAAAAATATATTGTTTGATAATGTGATTACATTAATTTTGCATAACTATTGTTATTATTGGATATTTTTACTGGTTAAACCATCTATAAGGTTATTATGATTCTTTTTATTATTATTTGCATTCTATCATAATGTTGTTAGAATATTATTGAATCGTATTCTGTAATAATGAAAATGAGTGAAAAACAATAGGTGAGAATAAAAATAAATAAGAATTAGCAATAATGCATGAAAATGACAATAGCTGTATGGGGTTGAACACATTTACATTACCAAACAACCTATTATCTTAATAATTCTTATCTATACGTCCGCACAATGGTTATTCATCCACATTATAACCTTACATTACTTATATATTTTATTTCCACTAATTTTCTTATCCAATTTGACATGTGTCGCATTTTCAAATGTTAACATGTATTACATTTAATGAAATTAATAATATTTTAATTTATTTGTCACCATTTAATGTACGTAGGAGGATAGTATGAACAAAATGTAAAATGATTTTTAATTTTTCTTAATTTAATCATGATTAATCTATTTAAAAATTAAAAATATTTTTTTAGATTGATTTTTATTATTCAAAAGATAATTAACTTGTAACATTATAGTATTATTGTTCTCTATAGTGTAAAGTTAACGATAATATAGTATTATTGTTCTCTAAAAAAAAATTAAACGGATTGATAGAAATATAGTGTAACTTATCCATAATAAAGTTAGGATCGATATCTCATTTATGATTTTGTCCAATAATATTGACCGATTGAACATAGTTAGTCTCCCGAATTTAAAATCCGACATTAAGTGGTCATCAATCCAAACATATCCATCAACCAAAATTAATTGTCAACATTGATAGCTACTTGCAGAATACTAGTCAATAACATGATTGTCGTCAATTAAACTCACCTTTTTGGAACTCTAAATCCAAATTGCATAACCACCGGTTACATATTCATTTCGTAACAAAAAAAAATTAGAAAATAATAACCATGGGTCTCATAAATCGATTGTAAGAGATAAAATGTATTGTTTAACAATCGATTAGGAATATGCAATCATTAGGTTTTGGTAATCGATTATACATAATATGAAATGACAAAAAATTAGGTTATGAATAACCATATCGTGAATAAGGAGATCGATGGTAAGAATGAACGTAAATAGTTAATTTAGTAATTTAGTTATACTTTTACTTAAAGATAATGTTTTAACTTAAAATAGATTAATTATGATGAAATTATATATTTGGGTATACAGATGAGTTTATAGGTTTTACAAAGATATATACGTGTAAATATGTAATTGAAGTTTTTACAAGGATATTGAAGTTTAATGGAAATTTCAAGAAAATAATTCTAGTTTTTTTTTTGAATGTCCAATTACTTTCAAACAGGTCATTCATGAGTTAAGCATGGGCCCAACCCATTCCATACGGGTTTCAGACTCAATGGACCGTGTTTAAAGCAATTATGGATTCACAACAAGACCGATGGCATCTCATACTTGTTTTTGACAAATTAAAAACATGACATGGGATCCTAATGATATTGAAATTTTACGAGTTAGTTCTTTCTTCTTTACTTTTTTATGTGTGTTATGGATTATTATCGAAAAATCCTACTTTGAAATGCTATAAACATGTCTGAAATGGAGTGTTATTCAATATTTAATCCTTAGAAATCTACTTAATTGGCATGGTGTTCATGTCCTATTTGTAACTTATAAAACTAGTATATGGTGTTGTGCCTTGTCTTTAGTCTTTAGCTCTCCTTTTTATTCCTCTGGAATGTGAAGAACAGATTGGAATACAAATTAAAGTCCAAAATATGAAGAACATTTACGTCTGGAATGCTGATAAAAGTTTGGAGAGTTGTCCCACCGACCTTTATTTTGAAATTAAAATGACTTTATCGATAGTTATCATCACAGTCCATTATATGATATAGTTTTTCGTGCCAACATGTCATTGGTGCTAATATTCTTGGTAAGCTACAACATTGACCTGCATGTAAGACTCTCTTCCATCGGTCGTGTTTTGGTAGGTATTTTGATATTCCTATGGGTGTGGAAAGTGACTTGTTGCTGATGCATTATGTTTTTTGCAAAAAAGTTGTGACAAACCATCGGACTCCACTTTAGTGATTATTTCTCAGCTTCGAATTTCAGCTACGATTTTTGATTTTGTGTGTTTTATGTGGTTGTTCTCAGCGATCCAATAAGATTGAAACATATAAATAGTGCATTGGAAAATTCTCTTGATAAGTTTCCTAATGAGGATGCAGTCTCAGTGTGTGTACTCTACTTGTTAGATAAGGGTTTAATAGACGGTTGCCTCGTCAACCCGTGAATGAGGACTTCTCAAACGTGACACCAGTTACACTAGTTATTTAATGCAACTTCTCAAATTCATACTTAATGCCCAAATTTCTATCTTTCTAGCAATTGGGTAAAGTATGTTCCATCTCTAGCCCTTAAATTTTAAAAATGACAATTGTGTACCCCATCTACATTTATCCACATTTGAGGTCTAAATCACTTATTATCATAATGATTATATTATAATTAATCAACTTTAACTTAATAATTTATGTGATTGTTTATTGTCACTTAAATATATTTTACCAAATGACTTCTAGCCTAGTTGTAATGAGTGATCCTCTTAATAAAGAGGTCATGGAACAAGTTCGTTGGAGAGGTTGCTAGTTGAAGACTCGAACGAAGAACAAGAACAAGCTGAAAAGCAAGAACTACGTTGTGGTTTGATCATTACCACAATGTGGTCCACTACTTTTCCAGATTATGTTTAAAGCATGGGGTGGAAACCCCGTCTTTTTAGAAAGTTCTGATGTGCGATTCATTTCTGGTTAGTGTCCAACTGGTTCCAACCCCTGTCAAAATTCTAGGATTTTATAGATTCACACTCGTTTGGCCGGTTTTCGAAACAAAGAGTCAAATTTACGGATCGGAACAAAAAGAATATTAAATGCAGTGGATGGATTGGCAACGACGTTATAAGAAGTTTATTAAGTTGGGATTCCAACTTAAGACTCGCACAAAAAGAAGCTTTTATCATGAGGCAACCTGACTTTTTAAATTAGCTTGCATTTTTTTCGTTTTAGTTTTTATTTTTTGAAAAAAAGTGCGTTTGATTATTCTTATTTTTGTTGCAAGAAAAATTTCAACTAAGGAATTGATGATGAGCAAAAATACAAGAACGGTGTGGATTATTACGAGGAGAGTGTGAAAGGCATGACACACAAATAAGCGTATGGTACACATTCAACATGGGAGCTAAACCGAGGAGTCTATTATACTATCAATGCTACATATGGGAGAAACTGATACAAGGACTAGTCAAGAGTCTGATCACTTTCTAATTGGTCGATTCATTCAATGGTGAAGAATTTAAATTTTCACAAAGACGAAGAAGAAAGTCACTTTTCGCGTGCACGCCAGGGGAGGGGGGTTGAGTCGCAGACAACTTTTGAGACCCTGAGACAGAGATTGTGTGAGGCACCGATTTTGGCTCTGTCGGAGGGTGTTGAGTATTTTGTGATTTATTGTGATGCATTGATCATGGTTTTAGGTGCAGTTCTGATTTAGAGGGGTCGCACGATCCCTTACGCTTCAAGGCAGCTGAAGCCTCATGAGGCGAATTATCCGACACATGATTTAAAGCTGGGAGATGTGGTTTTCACCCTCAAGATTTGGCGACATTACCTCTAGGGAGTCTTCTGTACTATTTACACATATCACAAGAGCCTGAGGTATCTGATGGATCAGACAAATCTGAACATTAGGCAGTGTCAATGGTTAGATGTGGTGAAGGATTATGATTTTGAGATCCTTTATCATCCAGGGAAGGCCAATGTAGTGGCCAATCCTCTTAGCAGCAAGGCGGGCAAGGCGGATTCGAGATGTATGGGTTGATGCTATGAAGGAAGAGCACCGAAAGAGCGAGCCCATAGTGGGTCAGGTGGCTTCCTTTTATTATGATAGTTGAGGGTTACTAACTCTCCATCAGATAGTGTGGGTTCTATATTGCGGTGGTGTGCATCAGATTCCGATGGAGGAGGCACAATTTGAGATTCTCCATTCATCCAAAGGAGACGAAGATGTATAGAGATCTTCGTCCTAATTATTAGTGGCATTGTATGAAGCAGGATGTATCTTGGTATATGGAGAGGTGCTTGACTTGCAGGAAAGTCAAGGCCGAGCATCAACGACCTCACAACAAGATCCAGCTGTTAGATATTCTTGTTTGGAAATGAGATGAGATTACCATGGATTTTATTACGAAATTGCCCCGGACTGCGCGCATAGTGGATTCGATTTGGGTCATCGTGGATTGATTGACCAAGAGCGCATATTTTATCCCAATTCAGGAGAGTATCTTTGCGTAGAAGTTGGTTGACGTATATATGAGGGAGGTTGTGGCACGACATGGGTGTTAGGTGCATAAATTGTACATTTTCATAGGTTAATTTCATGTTTATTTATAGCATTGCATTGCATGTTTAGTGTAACTTTCATGCATTTTACATTCAAGGACATTATCGAGGATCTATCGACACTTCACCAGTTTTTGTGGATGTTTCAGGGTAATTTGAAGATTGGAGCGTGCTTAGGATGTTTGAGGGAAGCTATCGGTGAGGTTTCGTAATTTCAGTGCTAAATTGAAGAAAATCAGAAAATTAGAAAATGATTATTTTGTATTGCATTACATGGCCCACGCTTTGGCAAGGCATGCATTACATGACTATGTTTTGCATGTTATTCAACACAGGTGGGCCATTACACAACTCTATAACAGCAAGGCATACGTTACACGGGTCATGTAACGTGATCTGATGGAATTTAAAATTGTAACTTCCGATTTATCTTTGGTGGTTG